CGGTAAATTCCTTTGTGAGCCAATCAAAATTAAGATCGTTCATGAAAGGGTTTCGTGGCTGATTCATACAATAATTACTGGTAAAAATCAGTTAGATTAACAACTTTTAATGTAAAGAAAAAGATAGTGCGTTTTGGTAACACTACGTTCCAACAAAGTTTTTTATATGTTGCTTAGCAACTAAAGTATAACCTAATATTGTTGTTTGTCTATGAACTGAAAGTATAAAATGAATTTTTGTTTATTTATTACTTTAGAGTCTCCGTTGATTAAATAGGTTTGTTTTTTATTCAAAACGTTGGTGATAAAATCAGAAACGATTTAAGTTTAAAACTGAATCAATATTTTTACTTTCACGATAAATTTTTTGCTCTTGGCTCTAGGCTAGGTGATCCCACACTGCGTCTTTACTTTAGACTTATTATAACAACACTCACAACACTTATAAGGCTTAACGGCAATCCCCTCACGGCACCCTTGTACTCCCGTCACTAAAAGCTTAAAGGGCAGACAGTAATCAAACTATTCTATCTGGATAAATACATTTTGGCTTTTATGACTCCTCCTATTTCGAGAAATCAAGCGTGATGTGACGTGACACATACTAGCTTTTTTTATAGGTTAGATACATGTTACTAAACAGTTTAAACAGGCATCCACAAATCACAACAATACGGTGTTTTAAGCATCATTAAAAGTAGAGGAAGAAGTAATCAGATTATTTTTAAAAAAAAGTGCCTCGTTGGGTCAGCGGTATGTTTATGGACATACAACTCAAAAATCTGAGGTTCGAGTCCCCACGGTGGATACAGCAGATAGCCCAGAGTGGCTAATATAAAAGTATTGTTGATTCCTACCAGTAAACAAGGACACAGTTCTAAGGTATTTTAAAATACAAGTCTTCCAATTAACCAGATATCCAATGAAAATAAAACATCTTTAAAATACGTTTTGTGACAAATGTCGTCATCAGGAAACATAGTACATTATTTTCTAAGTAATAGACAATCAAAATGGGTTATTCAATGGATTTTTTTTTTTACTAATTGAAATATAACATTAAAGCAAGTATTCTTGTGGTTATTAAGTTATTTCTTTTTTTTTTTTGTAGATCTAAAATCCTCTAATTTCTTATTCATAAAATATAGCTTGAAACGATGATAAGTTTTTAAAAGTATTTCAGGTTTTATAAAAATTTTCAAAGTACATCAGACTTTAGGAAACGTTTGCGCGGTTTATAAACTTCAGCTATTTTTCCCCTCCGGGTATTTTCAGAAATAATAAACATGTAGATGGAGTTTTGGTATCAAAAATTGATATTTTTGTTAATATGCTGTTAGAATAAAAAAAATTAATAATTGACAATTATTCTTTGATTACCTGATAATTAAACCTTTACGTTTGAAATTTGAAAACTACGGCAGTCTGCAAATTTTCATTAATAAATCAATTATTATATAGATGGCCCCCTTTCTAAACATTTCTTCAGAAACTTCGTGCAGCACTCTTGATACTACAAGACAGGGGAGAATGAGCAAGAGGTCCTTTCGGTTTATAAAAACTTGAAAGCAACTGGAAGTTGTACAAATAGTTACATAAACTATGTGTGGAATTCAACTTTAACACGAGGGAATCCTCAATAGCGGCGGCTTGTTTCTTTGTTTTCAATTTCGCACAAAGCTACACGAGGACTACCTGCGTTAGCCGTCCCTAATTTAGTAGTGAAAGACTAGAGGGAAGGCAGCTAGTCATCATCGCCAACTCTTGGGCTACTCTTTTACGAACGAATAGTGTGATTGACCGTCACATTATAACCCCCCACGGCTGAAAGGGCGAGCATGTTTGGTAGGACGGGGATTCGAACCTGCGACCCTCAAATTGCGTGTCGAGCGCCCTAACCACCTGGTCATGCCAGGCCTAATGGCGGAAGCACTTGAAATTATTTTTGGCACCATTAATTAATTAATTAGAATAAATTAATTTATGATATTTATTAGTTATTTTCCTTTTTATTAGCTATATACCAATATATATATATATACCAATACCAGTAATGACAATACTGACTTAAAAATAAATCAAGATTGAGATCATTTTTCTGTCAACCCATTTTTATATTCAAGCTTTGAGGTTGGTATAAATCTACAGCTATGGTCAAAAAATTTGCATCACCCTAAAATCTAAGAATGAGACATAATGTTAGGATATATTAACATAATTTGGAACTTTTATTTAATATTATTTAATCAAAGAACCTACAGAATGATATGGTGAAAGTCTACCGGAATCCGTAATAGTAGTACTTAGGTTTTGTAGTGCATTCCATGAGTTTCAAGACTTTCTTAATATATAGTTGTACTTAGGTTTTGTAGTGCATTCCATGAGTTTCAAGACTTTCTTAATATATAGTTGTACTTAGGTTTTGTAGTGCATTCCATGAGTTTCAAGACTTTCTTAATATATAGTTGTACTTAGGTTTTGTAGTGCATTCTATGAGTTTCAAGACTTTCTTAATATACAGTTGTACTTAGGTTTTGTAGTGCATTCCAGGGGTTTCAAGACTTTCTTAACCCTCTCAAGCAAGAATTCAGACCAGGGTCATGTCCGAAATTTTATAACAATATCTTTAAAAAAATATGATTTATAGAATAACAAATATTTTTCTTAAAAATTCGATTTACACGAAATTAAAATATCTAATTTTGGAATACAGTGCTTTTCTTGTATACTGTATCTTTTTTGTTTTTTTCAAAACAAAAAAACATTGATAGATTTGGGGATCCGCGAGAAAATTTAAGTTAAAAGGGGATTCTGGAGTTATTCAAGTTAGAGAACCACTGATCTAGATATTCCCACGCAACCTTTAAACGTAGTATTATTTAATTATCAGGTTTCATTCGACTCTATGGAGTAAAGTTAGATAATTCTAAGGTGATGCAAACTTTTGGCCATAGTTGTACTAATAAACATTATTTCTGACTTATATTACCTCCCTTTTTCAAGCGATCCAACGTTGAAGGTGAGGAACTGGAGTTCTACGTAGTCGCCATTTTGGGCACCATCAGTAACAAAGCTTACTATACATAAGAAGGGAATGTGGCGATGGAAGGGCTCGCTGACGTGGAGTCTGTACTTCACGTTGGCTTCTCCGTTGAAGGTCCTGTTGCAAGCTGCCAACAAAGAAATCCACAACCAGAAGGGTTTTCACTTTCTGATAACCTTATTGGTACCAACCACGAGATAATACGTACAAGAGTTATGGAACTTTACTTACAATAATGTTCATTGCCTAAACCAAAAATAATAGTTTGTTTTGAATTTCGCGCAAAGCTACACGAGGGCTATCTGCGCTAGTCGTCCCTAATTTAGCAGT